TTTACTGTCGATTACTGATGGAACAATCCGGATTTGTTCAGCTGACAGGTTTATTGTTCCATGTCACGTGGTCATCTTGAATTCTCGCAAACAGATCGTCGCGTCGTTTGCTTCTGGTACATGTGCCACTTTTGCTTTTATTATTAATTTTTTTTTTAAATGACAAAGTGCTGTTAAATAATGAATCCAGTTAAAGTGAGAAATCTATTGCAAGTGTAGTGAATGGATGAAGAGACAATTTCATTGTTTATCGATAAGTTATACTATTGAACATAATCTCACCTTAAAAAATACAAAATGTATATTAAATATTATTTAACAACAAATTTCAACTCAAAATAATTTTTTGGTATCAGGTCGAAGAATTTGATTCAAAAGCTGCGCATGTTCCACAGATTTTAATGCAAATAAAACTATAGTGATATGACCTACGGAAATCTGCTATCGATTATTTTAGAAGGCGAAGAAACTGAACAAATTGTATTAGACGGATCAAAGCTTTGTTAATAAAACAAATTGTATTGCCGATTTTTACAATTTAGTTTTGTTATTTCAATTGTTCCATAACAATTTTCTTTGTTCATCAAACAATTCTGTTTTCTTCACCGTACAATCCCATTTTAACAATTTTTTTTGTCCCAACAACAACACAGAAAATTAAAAGACATTAAAATAAGCTGCAACGCTTATTATTTTAATACCAAAATGTATTAAAATCAGCAAAATTGTATTAAAATAATAAGCGTTGCAGCTTATTTTAATGCCTTTTAATTTTCTGTGAAATATAGAACTGCTGGTTCTATATTGACAATCCGGAATTGTTGTGTGGACTTAATTTTAAGTATTCTTTTTTTTCTGTGGCGAAGTTAAACCTTTCGCTATTCTACTGAAATCTTTCGCTGTTTTAAGTAAATTTTTTTTCCGTGCACGATTTTTCAAAAGGACAGGAAGGATCCTCCTTTAACCGGAAGGATGCAGCATCTATGCAATACGGAAAACAGGATTTACCTGAAACAGCGAAAGGATTCATTACAATAGCGAAATATTTAACTGAAACAAGTAAAACTTTTGCTACAGTAGTCAAATAAATAATAATAATAATAATAAATAATTAAGTTAATAATTGCAAACATATCGCTGTTCCAATGAAACTTATCGATGATTCAGATAAAGATTTTTGCCCGTGATAGCTAAATTATTTAAATTATATATCACGGAAAAATATGTTCATACCTGGAACAGCGATATGTTTCACTAAAACAGAGAAAATTTTCGCTATTCTAGACAAACATATCACTACTCCAGATAAAGTTTTTCTTCCATGATACTTATTTTTAATTAAAATTTTACCATATTTTTCTAAAAAATTTGTTTTGAAAGCAAAATTTTGGCATATGATTTGAATGAAAGTTTTGCTGAAAGAATAAATTCCTATATATGTATAGAGAAAAATTGAAAATGATGAATAGCATCAAAAGACAATTTTGAGTCATAATAGATGAATCTTCAACTGGGCTCCATTGTATATAAAGATAGATTAAATATCGTGAGTGTAATCTTCACAATGTTTTCCAATAGAAAAAAGTCATTCAACAAGGTATGACGCATCCTGAGAGAATAGTTTACAATCTTTCACGAATATACCCTTAAACGGCGTATGTACATATATACATGCATTTAGCACACAGAAGAATATAAAAATATATTTCTCGAAAAAATCATTAAAACTTAGTCAGAAATAATGATTGAAACAATGAAATCATTTTTAAATGCTACTCCCAGCGTTTATGTATTTCATAAGAATTTCAATTCAACAGAATTTTATAAAATTCAGACACTTCTTCAAATCGAATTTTAAAAGAATTTTGAAAATAGCAAAATTTGAAATTTCAATTGTGAAGGGAATATAGTAAGTTTTTTCCAGCTTTAATCAAAAACGTTAATGAAAGTCCTTGAATACACACAGTAAAAAAATATGAATGACTTTTAATGGTAATTTTTCTATATTGTGTGTATCATAGTGAAAAAATATATATTCATAAGAAATTTTGAACGTGCATTCATCGTGCAATGTCCTTCCATTTATCTTCAAAGTCGATCCTTATCCACATGTTATATGATGATTGAAAAATTTTAATGCAAGGCATTAGTGCGCTTCACTCTCGAAGAGATCTAAGAATATGCACCTTGACTCGTATTTCGCGAACAGATCCCTCGATATATATACTCCTTGTAGTTCAAAACCGCAGTGAAAGGATACGCGGAATTATGCATGCAGTGGCGTCGCAGACAAGAATTTATACAAAAGTGTATTTTAAATTATAAGATGATATTCAAAATTAATTTTTATTTGCCGTATATTTTTAAATATTTTTAGCATTATTGTATATTTAATTATACTTATTATTATTTTAGATTTTTTATTAGATAAGAAGATATATTTTCTACATTTTAAAATCATAAAAAACTTTATTCTATTATATATTTAAAAATATAAAGATAATATTTATATTCTGATGACGCATTACCGACATAGAAATCTACCTTACCGACTGATGATAAAACAGGAAAATAACAATATAGAAAACTACCGACACAGAAATCTATAATACCGACTGATGATAAAACAGGGAAATAAAAATATAAAAACGACTGACACAAATATCTACCTTACCGACTAATTGTAAAACAGAAAAATAAAAAAAGTACCGACACAGAAATCTACCACACCGACTGATGGTAAAACAGGATAATAATATATAAAAATTGCCGATACAGGAATCTACCTTACCGACTGATGGTAAAAGAGAAAATAAAAATATAAAAATTACCGATACAGGAATCTACCTTACCGACTGATGGTAAAACAGAAAAATAAATATAAAAAATTACCGACACCGAAATCTACCATACCGACTGATAGTTAAACAGGAAATAAGGTTGTAAATTCACCGATACAAGAATCTATATTACCGACTGATGGTAAAATAGGAGAATGAAATTATAAAAATATCGACATTAGAACTTACCTTACCGACTGATGGTAAAACAAAAATTAAATATCCTTTTTAAATTGTTTTACCATCAGTAGGTAAGTTTGATTCCTATGTCGGTAATTTTTATATTTTTCTGTTTTACTATCAATCGGTAAGGTAGATTCCTGTGTCAGTAACTTATTATATTATTTTTGCGTTTTACCATCAGCCGGCAAGGTAGATTCCTATGTCGGTAATTTTTTTTTATATCTAATGGTCTCTGCTACTCGTATACTAGCAAAAATTGTTGAGAACACTCTTCTTTCTTAGAAAATGGCTTCAAATTCAAGGAATGAAGCAAGAATTATTTTTTTACTGTAACAATTTATTGTTAACATTAAAATAAGACTTATTTCTTGTGTTAAAATAATTTTTCTGTTTAAAAAATAAAGATTGTATTACCAAAAAAGTTTTATCATGAAAATGAATGGTACTTGACCAATTTTATAAAAGATTAGGGATGTATCTTCAAACAAGTGGACACGAATAAAAACTTGATAAACAAAAGTAAATTATTGATTGTATTGTGATACTTTGATAAAGTAAGCTAAGACCACACATAACCTATATATATATTATTACAATGTGATAACTCGGATATTTGAGAGTGAATATGTTTAGAATTTGTGTTTATATTTAGAATTCTCTGCAATTGCGCTTCTTGATCGCTTCATTGTAAGACAATATGGAGATAATAATTAATTTTTTTCATCACAAGGAGATTATAATTGTTTCTATAAATATCAGTTAATGAACTTTTAAAAAAAATGTTATGTCAAAGTTATGTAGATTTTTAAATTTTTATCTAATTTTAATTTAATTATTAGTCCCAATAAAGTCCCAAGTCCCCCCCCCCCAATATTAGTCCCAATGTTACACCCAGAAAAAAGATTTCTTTGTTGCAAAGAAATTGTTTATTTAATTTATATAAATGTTTCTTTGACCCTATATCATCATCAGTTAGAATTTCTTTGATTTAATGCACAAATTTTTCTTTGAAATTAAGAAGCTTATTTTTGTTTCAAAGAAAAATTTATTTTGAATGAAAGAAAAAAAATTAGTTTCTTTAAATCAAAGAAATTTTTTCCCTGCGTGTAGTTTTCCAAAATACAAAATGGCCGATCCAATATGGCGGACGAATTTTTTAAAAATTAATCAGATTCAGTTGAAACTTGTTACTCGGGGGTTTTTGGGGTCGCCGGTTACGAATCCCATGTTAGTTTTCCAAAATACAAAATGGCGGATCCAATATGGCGGACGACTTTTTTTAAAAATTAATCAGATTCAGTTGAAACTTGTTACTCGGGGGTTTTTGGGGTCGCTGGTTACGAATCCGATGTTAGTTTTTGAAAATACAAAATGGCGGATCCAATATGGCGGACGAATTTTTTAAAAATTAATCAGATTCAGTTGAAACTTGTTACTCGGGGGTTTTTGGGGTCGCTGGTTACGAATCCGATGTTAGTTTTTGAAAATACAAAATGGCGGATCCAATATGGCGGACGATTTTTTTAAAAATTAATCAGATTCAGTTGAAACTTGTTACTCGGGGGTTTTAGGGGTCGCTGGTTACGAATCCGATGTTAGTTTTTGAAAATACAAAATGGCGGATCCAATATGGCGGACGAATTATTTAAAAATTAATCAGATTCAGTTGAAACTTCTTACTCGGGGGTTTTCGGGGTCGCTGGTTACGAATCCGATGTTAGTTTTCCAAAATACAAAATGGCGGATCCAATATGGCGGACGCCTTTTTAAAAATTAATCAGATTCAGTTGAAACTTCTTACTCTGTGGTTTTTGGGGTCGCTGATTACGAATCTGCATTTATTTTTTAAAAATTCTCAAAACTATATATTATATAAAAATATTTAAGCAAAAAATGCAAATATTTTGCCAATGTTTTTCTAAATTTTGTTGTTTGTATTCCATGAACAATAAGAGAAAAAAAAAATTATTCTTGCAGGTGGTATTATCATGGTTGAGTGTAAATCGTGGGAGTATTACAAGAACCACAATATATATACATCTATCTATATAAGAGTGAAGCCTAAAGGAGATTAGAAATCGCGCGAAAGGGACCACACACGTGCGCACAATGTTGGTTACCATGACAACCATTGGCAACACTGTTGCGATTGTAGCGCTCTATATCATTTTGAAGCGTGCGTGTATTCCCGAGGATTTGCGATCAGAACCGAGTGTTTGAAAAAAGGGGAGAGGGATGTTGGTGGGAAGGGGAGGGGGGGATCCGTTGTCTTTTTTCCGCGCGCGGTGTAAAACGGTTCGAGGGGAAATAGCATTTTGGAGAGAGGGAAGTCCCGTGTCCAACGATTCCATGGTCCCCAAGCGCGCTAGGCTTATGCCTTCTTCTATATTATAACCGAGAGTACACGAAAACAGGCCGTGCAGCGAGTGTCGTATATTAGTGCGTGTGGCGTCCTGTATGTCTTGACGCTTTGGAATTTTTTTTTTTCGGGAGGAAAAAAAATTTAAGACTGAGTGAAAAAAATAATTTGTAAAAAAAAAGGAAAAAAAAAATTAGACATGTTTGACGTTTTTGGTTCGGTGAAGGGCTTGTTAAAGCTCGATGCAGTTTGCATTGACAACAATGTATTTCGACTTCATTATAAGGCAACTGTGATTATTTTAATTGCCTTTTCACTATTGGTTACATCAAGACAATACATTGGTGATCCAATTGATTGTATTGTTGATGAAATTCCATTAAATGTTATGGACACTTATTGCTGGATTTATTCAACATTTACAATTCCAAATCGTGTGGGAATTATTGGCAAGGATGTCGTTCATCCCGGTGTAGCATCACCGCAATCAGATCGCGATGAAGAAGTGAAATATCATAAATATTATCAATGGGTATGCTTCACATTATTCTTTCAAGCAATTCTTTTCTATGTACCACGTTATCTTTGGAAAACATGGGAAGGTGGTAGAATAAAAATGCTTGTATTGGATCTTAATTGTCCTGTAGTGACTGATGATTGTAAATCAGAACGACGTAAATTACTTGTTGAATATTTTGCAACTAATTTACATACACAAAATTTTTATGCATTTCGCTTTTTTCTTTGTGAAGTTTTAAATTTTATCAATGTAATTGGACAAATTTATTTTGTTGACTTTTTCCTTGATGGTGAATTTTCAACGTACGGCTCTGATGTTCTTAAATTCACTGAAATGGAACCCGAACAAAGAATTGATCCAATGTCAAGGGTCTTTCCAAAAGTGACAAAATGCACCTTCCATAAATATGGTGCTTCCGGTACAGTGCAAAAGTTTGACGGTTTATGTGTATTGCCATTAAATATTGTTAATGAAAAAATTTATGTGTTCCTTTGGTTTTGGTTTATATTTCTATCAGTATTGAGTGGTTTAAGTCTTGCCTATAGAGCCGCAGTTGTTGCTGGACCAAAACTTCGTCTTATATTATTACGTGCACGTTCACGATTATCGCCAAAGGATCAAATTGAAATAATTTCTGAAAAATGTCAAATTGGCGATTGGTTCATTTTGTATCAATTGGGTAAAAATATTGATCCACTCATCTATAAACAACTCATCTCGGAACTTGCATCAAAACTCACCGGCAAAGAAGGAATGCAGAATGTATAAAAAAAAAAGGAAAGGGAAGTTTTTTTTTAAAATCTCATTAAAAATGAGATTTTGTATTTTTTTGAAAAAAAAAAATTAGCATCTGTAGATTTGTTTATGATTGAATTTGAGGGGAGAAAGGGGATAAAAAAAAGAGGTGGGAGGAAAATGGGAATAGAGAGGGGGTGGGTCTCAATCAGCTGACCTGTGATAATCCGATTTAATTATCAAAAAAAAAAATATTCTGGGAATTTTTTTCCATCAGCTGTAGAGAAAATCAATATTGAACATGGCTCTAAATTTCAAGGATAAAAAAATAATTTTCAATTATCTTATTTTTCTTTTTTTTTTGATTTTGATTCAAAAAATGTTATTTTGAATTTTGAAAATTATTTCAGTCATCTTTGCTTTCATCTTCAGAATCATTTTAGAATCATGTTTAAAAAATTTTGAAAATCATTTTTGAAATCATTTTGAAGATAATTAAAATAAAAATTTTTGATTCCGTGGGAAAATATTTTTTGTGAAGTTGGAGTCTGTGCCGACAGGTGGCGATCGTCAATATTGAGCAAAGATTCCTCAGGATCGGTTGCCGGTTTTCTTTTTTTTTTTTTTGGAGGACCGCTTCCAAATCCGCCCATTCTCTTTGTATTCCCCTCCATATGCATACTCATCGATTATTCTGGTAAAATACATGTCGATTTATTTTTATTTTTAATTTTTTTTTTTTTTTTTTCTCATTCGATGGACGTATTTAAGGGAGGGACTGCCCAGATTCTTGGGCTGTGGACCAAGGCTTCGTAGACTCTTAATTGTGTGATAAAAAACGGGGGACGGCGTTCTTCTTTATTCTCTTTTTTTCTTTCATCCCAAAGTGTATAGCGTTCCCCAGGAAAAAAAAATGCAATTCTTTTTATTTCAATCAAAAACTTTTCTTTAAATTTTTTTTTGGGACATTTCAAAAATGTCGGAAAAAAAACAATTTCCAGTGAAAATTGAAAGTAATATTTAATTACTTATGTTAATTAATTCTTTAGTAAATTTGTTAATTAATTTGTTAATTAATTATTTAATTAATTAATTTTTTTAAATTATAATAATGTAATAATAAATAAATGATGTAAAAATATTATATTGTGCAAATATTTAAGTGTATAATGAAAAAAAAAAAAATTTTGCTAAAATTACTTTAAAATGAGGTAATCGAGTCTTTGAACTCTGGACCAGTATGATTAGCGTAGCTGATGAGAAAAGAAAATAAGGAAAAAAATTTTACAATTCAGGCGATGATAAAAAGACAAAAAAAAAATCGGTACTTTTTTCTCTCTTTTTTTTTGCATTTTCTGTTCTGCGTGGAACGCACCAAAATTAATTAAATTAATATTTATTAACTACATTAATGTTAATCAGTTAATAATATTATTTTTAAAATAATAAAGAAAAAGCAATTTTTTAATAAAAATAATTTAAAATAATAATAATAATATAAATAACAATAAAAGAAGAACGACCCGATCCTGACTTTGTTAGGAATAGTAATAAAAAAAAAAAAAGACGCCCCGCGAAGTCCGCCCTTGGACTTTAAAAGAAATCGCCGCACAAGGGCGTTACTTTCGCCGAATTAACATTTGGAAAAAAAAAGCAGCGAAATCTATAAAGAACAATCTCCCCCTTTTTTTTACTATTTTTTTTTTTTTTTCTTTTTTTTGCCGAAGAAGGGACGAGATTGCGCGCCGTCCTCCCCAGTAGCGTAACTTCTTCGTCCTGTACCAATTTTTTTTTTCGCTATTGCAATTAGACACTAGGTCATAGGAAAAAAAAAATATAAATATATTATATATATATAGATAGAAAAAAAAGAGAGAGCGAGAGAAAAAGAGTGAAAAGTGTGTATAGATATCCGATATATAGGTATATATTTTATATATAATTTATTGATATATAATATATTATAATAATATATTATTATATAATATATATATATATCCTATATGTATTATATATATTTTATATATATTATATATTTTTTATATATCAATTTTTTTTTTTTTGTAAACAAAGTATTTTCTTCCATTCCGCACAAAATAAACGAAGGGACCAATAATGAATTGTATTTTTGTATTTTTGTCGCCAACAATAATAATTAATAATGACAAATGTTATTTTCAATTTAATTATTTATATATATATATATACGGTAACAAAAATAATTTTAATAAAATTAGATGAATGAATTTTTTTCCTAATTTTAATTTTTTGTTACTCATTTAATAAAAATGTTCGAACAGGGTGACTATTAAAAATTGCGCTCAACAATTATTATTAATTAATTAATTGGTAATTATTAATTGTAATAATTATTAATTACTAATTATTAATTACTAATTATGAATTGTAATAATAATTAATTATAAATAATATCTTCGTTTTTATTGTTATTATTGCGAAAAAAAAGTGCTTTTGGGAGAAAATTTCTCATTTATTTAGATAGAAAAAAAAAATACGAGCTTCTATTAATGTTTAATAAAAATCTTCACCCTAAAAAGGTTCTTTTTAGCAACAATTTTATATCAATGTAATTATAATAGATTTTTAATCATGATTAATTCAATTGTAATAATAATAATTATTATGATAATGCGCATTGTCGTAATTTAAGTTGTGAAATTTTCATGCAATAAATCCCTTTCGATAAATTTTTTTTGTATTTATCAATTTTATCATTTTTTGAGAAAGTAAATAATTTTTTTTTAAATACTCAATGGCTTTTTTTGTTCATTGTACATTAATTTTTTTTACAATACTTTCTTTTTAATATATACACATTTATGCGAAAGGGATTAATTTGCGAATTTTTCAAGTTCCAGAAGCAATTTGTGTTTTTAGACTATATAGAAAATAGGAGAAATGAACTTAGAAGACAATAAAAAGTACATTAACGATTAAAGTACATTTTTTATGAATATTATTGAATTAATGAATGTATCACTATTATATATATATATATATATATATATATATATATATATATATATATATATATATATATATATATATATATATATATATATATATATATATATATATATATATATATATATGAAATGATATCTTTCCCTGAAAAAAAAAAAAAATAATCGATGCTCAAAGTAAGACTGCCAATTTGTATACTCGCGGTTTTTTTTGCAATTTTTTTTTTCTCTCAAAGAAAACGCATTAATATTTTCAATATAAATTTTTGTTTTATAATTTTTCATTTTTGGTAGAATTTTATTCTTAGCTAAAAATTCAAATTTTTTTACAGAAAAAAAAATTGTTCCTTTTTTTGGGTCAATTTTTTTTTTCAATTCCAACGAGGTTCAACGAGGTGCATAATAAATAAATTCTACTCTCGTCTTGTCCTCGAAACGTCAGGCAAAAAAAAAAAATTGAATTTTTTTTTAATTTTGAATTTTAGAAACAAAATTTATATTGAATGATATTGAAATGTTTCTTGAAAGTTTTTATTGAAAATTTATTTATTTATTTTAATTTACACGAATTTACAAAAATTTTAATAAGAAAATTAATAATAATTTAAAAAAATTATTAATAAAATTGATAATTGATAATTGATAATTGATAATTGATAATAAATAATAAAAATTAATAAATAAATAAAAATAAAAAAAAAGAGAGAAAAAGAAATTTTTTTCCATCTGTACAACAGAAGCTAAATTAGGAGCGGTTAATAATTTAAGTCTTAGCTTGTAATTACGTTCTCTTTTTTTTAGGAAAAAAAAAAACAAGCGATAAAAGTGCCTTTTTTTTGCAAAAAAATCTTCACAATCTGCAGTGATTTTCAATATTAAATTTTTAAATCGAGAAAATTTGAAAAAAAATAAACGATTAATTTTTCAATGATTTTTATTTATTATCCTGTACAAATCACGAGAATTGTAACGGTTGCTTTTAAAACCGTGAGAGATAAGAATAAGACTGCAGATTGCAGAGATTAAATCGTATATATATATAGTTAGCAAAAAAAGTGATAAATGACAATACAACTATTTTTATAGTTTTTTTTTGGTAACAAATGGCTAAATTAAATAAAAAAAATTTTCATATCAGATTAATAAAAAGAATATTTTTTTTGCTCCTTTCACTTAAGGAGAGCGAACTCTCGCGTAAATCAGGATAAATAATTATTTCGTTCTTCTTAACTAATATATTTTTTTTATTAGCGAAATATTTATAAACCTGGAGTTTCGCTTTTTTTCAATGAAAGGGATGAGAAAAGAATTTGTAAATTTTTATACTAATGCAAAAAGAGAGAAAGAGGTGAGAAAATTAAAAAAAAAATTTGAATTATGTAAAAACTATTTTAAAAAAAATATTATTGTACTGAAAATTGAAAAGGCTGAAAAATTTTGTAAAAAGAGTTTGTATAAATAAATTTGTTTATAAAATAAATTTATTTATAAATAAATGTTTTGTAATTTTTGTATAAAATCAAATTTTTCGATTTCAAAAAAAAAAAAATGCGATTATGTAATTTAAATGTAAGGGTTATCGCTTTTTTAAAAAAATGGAGAAAAAAAAATACAAAACGTATGGTTGTATTGTAATATTAAAAATTAACATCTATAGATGTTAATGATTTTTTTTTTTTTGTAAAAGATGAGAATTATTGCTTAACCTTCTTTGCTTTGTTAGTTTCGACGAACATTTATAGTAACAATTAACTATATTTTTTTGCACATTCCGTCGAGTACTTGTTTATAGAAAACAGTATATATATAATAATAAATACGCGAGTGCAAAAAATTAAAAAAAAACAAAAAAAAAAGGGAATGAGAAAGAGTGAGATTTAGCATTTTAGAAATGAAATTTTTGCATGAACGAAAGTTATTATTATTATAAAATAAACAATTCCAAGAGATTTATATTTTTTATTTCAATCCTGTATTTTTTTTTTTCTTTAAACTATTTTATTCTAGTTTTTATAGACAATTAATTATTTAAATATTTTTAAATTATTTAAATTTTTTATTAACTATTCAATTACAGTTTTTAATTAAAATTAATTTTTAAATAAATATTTTTTAATTATTTCGATTGTTATTTAATATAGAATTTGTCATTAAAATTTTGTAAATTGCAATATTTTGTCTAAATTTTAGATTTTGTTAAATGAACAATTCGAATTTATTTTTAGTTAAATAAAAATAAAAATTAATTTATTTAAACAAAAAGGGAATTTTTTATTTACTGATTGTGTATTTTTTTTTTTTATGGAAAATATTTATAGAAAATTCTAGATTCGTAATAGATGAATGTTTCAGAGAGAGAGGAAAATCCATTTTAAGGTAAGTATTTCTTTTTATTTCCTTAAAAGGAGAAAATCAACGAGTTCCAATTTTATCAAGGAAAATGGACTTTAAATTACGATTAATATAGTTCAATCAAGTAAATTATTTCAAGTTATTTAATAATTAAAAATACTGTATAATTATTAATTAGTGGATGATGTAATATTTTTTTTCATAATTAATTATTTAATTAATCTGTTTATTATTTAATTTAAAGAATTAATTAATATTTTATTTATTACATTTATTAATTTATAAATTGTCACATTTATTTAATTGTTATTAATTTATTAAATTTATTAATTTGTTAATTAATTATTTAGTTAATTTGTTATTTAATTTGTTAATTATTTATTTATTACATTTATTAATTAGTAGATTGTGGAATTTATTTTTTTTGGTTAATTAGTGTATTAATTTGTTAATTAATTTTTAGTTATTTAGTGTATTAATTTGTTAATTAATTTTTAGTTAATTTGTTAATTAGTTTTTTAGTTAATTTGTTAATTAGTTTTTTATTTAATTTGTTAATTAGTTATTTAAAAAAAATAATTGTTTAGTTAATAGAAAAATTTAAATTAAATTATCTTTAGTTAAAAAAAATGAAAAAAAAAATTTTGTTTTTTTTATTTTCACTAAATATATAGAAACACAAAGATCAGAAGAGTACATCTATATTTATATATAAATTTATAAAAGAGTAGTTTAGTCCCCTTTTTATTATTAAAGGAGCAAAGCCAAGTGCAATGTTCTTTTTATAGCGTTCGGTGCCTTTAATTTACGACCACGTTCTTTAAATATGAAAATTGCAACTAGACACCGGATTAAACGTAATGGTATATGACCTTCAATTGATTTTAGCATAATCATTCCAACAGGGTACATCAAATACGTGCGAGACTTTTTATTGAAAAATTTATTTTTCATTGGAATAATTTTTTCCGGATTCTCTATTAGAAAAAAAATTATTTTTTTAATCGACAAAAAAATTTACAAAAATTTTTTTCTATTTGAAAAAAAAATGAAAACAAAAAGACGATATTTTAATACAAAAAAAAAAAAAAAAATTTCATTTAGTTACTTATGAAAATTTGTCCATGGTTTGACAAGATAATGAAAAATAAAGTCATTTAAGATTTTCAGTCATTATCATTATATGAGTGTGTTATTCGATACAATATAAAATCCCGACCTTCGATGTGTCTAATCTCATATATGAATGTGTGATAAACAAAATATTTCTAGAGAAAGCTTCGCAATAATCCATTATTATAATTGTATATTATTTAAACAATATATGTTAATTATAATTTAAAAAAAAATTTTTAATTTTTACCAATTTTCAAGTATTATTATTTTTTTTTACTTTAAGAAATGTTTCATTATTAGAACATTAGAAGAAAATATAAAAAGTATTTGTTATCAAAAACTTATATAATTACTGTCTTATTAAAATAATTAAGAAAAATTTATTTTTCAAAATTTAATGTTTTTCTTATCGAATAACAATTATTATTAATTTGAACATAAATTTAGATTTAAATCATTTGTCTAAATTAGATAACAATTTTTTTTTTTCTTAATTTACATATACAATTTTAATCAGTGGAATTTTATTCGAAATTATTTAATTCGCGGCCCAAAAGTTTTTGACGGAAATTAATTCGAACAAATAAAAGTTCTGATAAATTAAAATTCGAAAAAATAAAAATTCTGACAAATGAAAATTCAAAAAAGAAAAATTCGACTAAAATTTTCATTTTTCCAAAATTGCAAATCACCGACAAAATAATTGACAGAAAAAATTTTGACAGGAAATAAAAATTTTAATTAGAAATTATCAATTGTCATTGGTTAATTTCAAAAATTGTTTTTTCGGTCATAGTGTAATTTCGGACAAATTAAAATTCGGTAAATTGGAATTTCTGTCATTAAAAAAAATTCGAATTTAATTTTTTTTTTTTAAATTAAAGGAAAATTGTCTTTTTTAATCATAAATAATGAATTTAAATTTTCGTATTGTGGGTGTGTGAAAGAGTTTTGAGAAGAATTTAAAATGTCTCCTTTTAGGCGCAAGAAGTAGTTGAGCAAGATTATTATTATTATTATTTTTTGTCTATCTAGAGAAAAGAAGAAGAAGAAGAAAAAAGAAGTTGAAGGTGAACGTGACATTGGTCACGTAAAGATGGGTAAAATTTTATAAATGGTTCCCGAAAGATCCTGTATCGAAATAATGGTGTCCAAGAAGGAAAAAAGAATGGACACGCGGGGTTCTCTTTGAGATGAAAGTTGCTCCGTTGCTTCGACTCGTGTGAGGGCAACGTCCGGTCAAAGTCCCTTATACAACTAAGATCCTATACCACAATATATATATATATATATACAAGGTGATTTTTATGTTCCGAACACCCCGAATTTTATTTTCTTCGAATTTTTGCGACGCCGAATTTTAATTTGTCCGAAATTCACAAATGTCCGAACGAACAATAAACAGAAACGAATTTCGGCGCAATTTTTCAAAAATTGACCAATTAGAAATTATCAAGAAAATCGTGATTGGTCAATTTTTGAAAAATTGCGCCGAAATTGTTTTCTGTCGATTGCTTATTCGGTCGTTTTTAATTTCGGACAAATGAAAATTCTGTGCCTTAAAAATTCGTTCAAATAAAAATTCGGTGTCTTAAAAATTCGTTCAAATAAAAATTCGTTTTCTTAAAAATTCTATAAATTAAAAATTCGTATAAATAAAAATTCGGTCAAATAAAAATTCGGACATATAAAAATCAAACATAAAATTCATTCATAAAATTCAAAAATAAAATTCATTTAAAAGTGATTTTTATGTTCAAATTTTTTGTTATTTTCATTTTTTTCCTTTTTTTTAAACAAAAAAAAGGGGAATTAAAAAAAATTCTTTTAGGGGGTCCGGAAAATAAAAATCACCCTGTATATATTCTAAAATTTCACAAGACTTGTGGTATACAGTGGGTACCATATTCTTTCTACTATAGTCTCCTTTTTCTAAAAATCTTATATTTGTACCTTTCCTGCGGAATCTTTTGTATTCCATCATCTTTAAACGCTGACATCACTTTATCTTTCCTGTATTTATTTAAGATGCTTTTAAAATTCTAAACCTTCTCCTTTGGTAACCGGAACCAAAAAAAGGACGTCCCTAAAAAAAAAAAAATTCATTATTCTCAAATTTTTATTTTTTAATTTAATTAATTCAACGAATTTCAAAATTTTTACGAATTTTTATTCATATGAATTTTTAATTGATAAAATTTTAATTGCAACGTCGAATTTTCATTTGTCCGAAATTACAAATGACCGAACAAACAATTGACAGAAAACAATATCGGCGCAATTTTTCAAAAATTGAACAATCACGATTTTCTTGATAATTTCTAATTGGTCAATTTTTGAAAAATTGCCACGGAAATTGTTTTCTGTTGATTGTTTGTTCGGCTATTTGTAATTTCGGATAAATGAAAATTCGGTGAATTGGAATTTCTGTCATTTCAAAATTCGAATAAGATAAAATTCAATTGAATGAGAATTCTGTTAAATTAAAATTCTTTTAATTAAAATTCTATTAATTTAAAATTACTTTTAATTAAATTTCTCTGAAATTAAAATTCTTTTAATTAAAATTCTGTTAATTTAAAATTACTTTTAATTAAATTTCTTTTAAATTAAAATTCTGTTAATTTAAAATTACTTTTAATTAAAATTCTGTTAATTTAAAATTACTTTTAATTAAATTTGTCTTGAATTAAAAATTCTTTTAAATAAAAATTCATGTAAAAAAAAAATGAATATAAAATAAAAATTCTACAAAAAATTCATTAGCTAAAAATTTTGTTAAATAAAAATTCGGGTAAAAAAAAAATTTCCATTAATTACTAATTCAAAAAAATGAAAATTTGTCTAAAAAATACACATTGTTTTGCTAATTTCGAAAAAAAAATGATTTTTACAAAATAGTTTGGAATTTTAAACTTGTGGCGCGAGGGAAATCCGTTTTCCCAGATGGAAAACACGTTTGCCTATTATAGATATAATGATGGTCGTAATGTGCCCCAAAAATGTTTCAAGAAAGAAATTCCAACCTTGAAGAATAAGGACCGCACCTATATAGGATTTGTATACACGTATTGTTCAAAATTAGAAATTCTTGACTTTAAAGATCCTTTTCTTATTCAAAAGTAAATGCTCGCAGGTAAGAAAGTATTACAGGTGATTTTAGAACGATTTTTTTTTCGTAAACATATTTTTTGTTTACTTTTTCGTCAAAAAAAAAAAAAAAAAAAAAAAAAAATCATTTCTTCTATAAAATTGTACAAAATTTTTTTTAATAAGTTGCAAAAATGAAAAAAAAATTTAATATTTGTGAAATTTTCAAAAAAAACCTTCAAATAAATTGTATAATATGACACGTGTGTCGATGGAAATAAAACGTAAATTCAATTTCATTTTTTTTACCATTAAGTTATAAATCAATCTAAGTGATAACCTTTATCTCATGTATATATATATGAATTTTGGTATATGTCGACACCTAATTTTTTTTATTATGACTAATACACGCCTTGCGAGTCATATACCTTTAAAATAACAAAAATTTGTTTAATTTTTTTATAATCACAAGTTATATTAAAATTCAAAAATGGATTTTTTATTTTATATACAGGGAGACCAATAATAATCAATAATAATAATAATAATAATTTATTAACAATTTATTTAATTTATTATTATATTATTTATTATTAATAATTTAATTTATTTAATAATTTTAATTAATTTAATTAAGTAAATAATAATAAAAATAATATATTTTATAATAATTATATATTATATTATTATTAATTATTATTAATTTTTTTTTCATACATATATTCAAATAGCCATGTGTCATGTTCGACAGGATTGACTATAATAGAGCAATCGATGCGATTATATTATTCGCGTAATCACTGGCGCTAATTACGACACGTTCATTGATATATAGGTATATATATACCACATGTGGGAGTGTCCCGTGAGAAAAAAATACCGTTAAAAATTATTATAAAATTATTTTCTTTTAATTATTAAATTATTTTCCTTATAAAATTTTTTATTATCGTTTCTTCTGAATTTTAAACGGTTTTGTGTAATTTTTCTTTTTTTTTTTTATTAATTTTATATAAAAAAATATTTTACATAAAAAAACACACTCTTCTATATTAAAAAATTTAATGCAACATCAAAAAAAAAAAAAAACTTTTACACCTGACATTTTACATATTTTCATATAAATGTCTGTATTTATCTTTTCCATGTGAATGCATTATGAAAATGAACTTTTACTTGATATTTAAATATGTGAAAAAAATCCTTTGAGAAGTATATATATATACATTTCTTCATTTTATAAACACATTAGAAATTAATGATTTTTTTCTTTGAAAAAAATTTTGGGTTATTGCGCTTTAAAGTGAAAGTTTTTTAAAGACTTTTTAAAATAATAATTTTAAAAAAACATAAAAAATATATATTTAACATTTTTTTTGAATAAATTTTTATTATTTATTATTAATTATTAATTATTTAGTAATTTTTTTTATTTTTTTAATTTTTTTTTAGTTTTATATTGGACTAATATTTTTTTGAAAAATTGAAGTAAAAAATAAATATGAAACTATTTTTTTTTTTTTTTATCAAAATCGTAATTTATAATATGATTGTTCAATGATCTATTATATGTATTTTATTGATAACTGCGATGATTCCCTTTTAATAAATATTGTTTAATAAATATATATATGTTATAAGAGGGACAATTTTTTGTTATATATATATAAAACACCTGGGACTTAAGTCTTATCCAAGAAATATCAACTACTTATGTATAATATATGATAAAATTCTTGTCAAATATTGTAAAACAAGATCTATCTAAGTTGTCGATAAGAAAATTTGACTAGTTTTTTTTTTTTTATTCTCGAAAACAAATACTATTTTTTATGATAGAGTTATATAAAAAGACACATGCATCGACTATTTTCTACTTCAAATATACTCAAAAAAAGACAAAAATAAAGTCTAATAAAATATTTAAAAATAAAAAGTTTTATTTTCTAAATTAAAAAAAATATAAAAAAATATTTAAAAATATAGAAAAATAGAATAAAAAATAGAAAAAAAATATATATTGAATAAAAAAAATTTAATATTTTTAATTCAAGAATAAAATAACAATTCTTACAAATGGAAACAATATTCTTGAATTAAGAATAAATTTTTTTTTTCAATGTTTTTATTCTGGGAAATCTATTCAAAAAAAAAATTTATTCTTAAAGCTTATGGTAATAGTCTATTTCCTTTTTTTTTTACAATTCCAAAGTCACCTTGTGTGAGCAATAATGAGAACAGAAATGCCCCGAAGAAAGAAATTATGCGTGATGTAAATTTTTATTCTACTCTCAGGCGTTTATTGAAATTCAGGTCACTTTTGAGAGTGCTGTCTCTTTATACAATTATTTTTCTTTTTTTTTTTTTTGTTTATTTTTTTCATTTTGATGATGTACTTAAATCACGTGCTTTCGACACACCTCTTCATTTATATATACTGTTAAGGAATATCAATTTGAATTGTCTTTTATCAGCGATTAGTATCAATGTTGTAAAATAAAGAAATAAATAACTTTTTCTATCGAAGAAAGAAAGAAATTATAAAATAATCATTAATCGATCGCTACTGACATATATATATACTGCATAGATTTAATTCAATTTATTCAATCACAGTTATTATTAAACTTTTCTTGATATTGGATGATTTTGAAATTTTATTTAAAAATTAATTTTAACGAAGAAATCTTAATTAGATTTGATTTAATCGTTTTGAATTTTTATTTACTTTTTTTCATAAGTCCAAGATTCTAAATCTACTTTACCGACGCAACATAGAGTGGAAACTCACATGAAATATTTACCCTAATAAAATTGTATAATTTGAAAATTAAATTTTAAAAAATTAATTTAGGAAACTACATTTTTATTATTATTATTATACAAATATTATAAATAAATTATAATATATAAATAAAATAAAAAAATAAATAGAATAGAAAAAATATAATAGAGAAAATAAAACAATAATAACAAACAAATAACAAAAAATAATAATAAAAATAATGAAAAATAATAAAAACACAAATAAAATAATAATTAAAAAAACAATAAATAATAATTTTTTAATTTTCAAATTTTTTTTAAATAATCCAAATCTACTTTACCGACACAACATAGAGTGGAAACTCACACGAAATATTTATCTTGATATATAGAATAATTTGAAAATTGAATATTTAATAAAAAATTAAATTAAAAAACAAAAAATTGTTCTTTTATTATATATTACAAATATTATAAAATATATAAAGAAAATAAAGAGAATAAAAAACAAATATAATAAAGAAAATAAAACTTAAAAAAAAGAAATATAATAAAAAAAGAAATAAACAAAAAATATAAATAAATTATATAAAAAAAATGATTATTTTAATATCCAATATTGTTTTTAAATAATCTAAAGTTTGCATAATTTAATTTTAAAAAAGTATTTATGCATATAAGGGGAAAACGTTTATATAGCGGGTTCTTAAGACGTTTTATCATATATTTTCTTATCATTTCAAAATTATGGAAGAAGCAAGTAAACTTTTGTAATGATACGAAATTCATATCTCTCTCTTTCTATGCTGTATAGCAGTTTTTATGAACAGTAAATGATAAGAGTTCGTATAGATTTTCTGAGTTTGAAACACTTCAGTGTCAAATCGAATTCTCGACAACTGAGATCGAGTACATTTAATATAAAAAAGAAAAATTGATTATGGACCATAGTGCACAATTAGGTCATCGCCTCTGCAAACAATTTCTCAGTGTATCTTTGCTTTAATTATATAATAAAATAAAAAAAATATTATGATTTTAATATAAAATTTTTTTTTTTAAATAAAATTTTTTCTAGTTCCTTTTTTTTCTCTTTTTCTATAAATTAGAAAAAAAGTGTTATATATATAGATATATAAAAAAATGGCCACTGTACTTGGAACTTTTGCTGTTTTGAAAAATCATTTAAAATTAAAAGTTAGTCCAGACTATGTTGCAATTGACAATATCAGTAAGTATTGTGGAAAAACAAAATTGAAATCATTACAAAATGTAATAAATTGAATTTTCAAAATTTATTATTAATGGAATTATGTATTAGTATTAGGAGAAAAAAAATTTATTTGATTCAAGTACAAAAATTATTGGTTCAAATATAGTTTATTTGATTCAAGTAAATATTTATTTGATAATTGTAAAGCAACCGATTATTTGAATTAAATAAATTTTTATTGTCAGTGTATTATTTATTATTATTTATTATTTATTTATTATTTATTTATTATTTATTTATTATTTATTTATTATTTATTTATTATTTATTTATTATTTATTTATTATTTATTTATTATTATTTTGTATTATTGTTATTTATATATTTATTTATAAATATTATTTTGTTAAAAGTTTTTGAAAATTCGTTTATAACATTTTTTAAAATGATAATTTATATCTGACAGGTAAATAAGCCTTTTTGAAAAAATAAATTTTACTGAAGTATCTTAAAATTTTTTTTTTTTTTTTGGTTTTAGTTTTTAAGTTGCACTATAGAGCAACGTTTTTGGTTCTTTTGGCAGCCACTCTTCTCGTATGTTCAAGACAATTCATTGGAGAACATATAAGGTAAGTAAAAATTCATATGTTTCACGTACAGAAGTTATATATCACACCTTCACAACTGTAATTTTGTCTCGTAAACGCGAGACTTAAAAAAAAAAATGAACGTACGTTGCTCGAACTTTGATTTATGTATAAGTTACATCTTTTGAAAAAGTAAAATCCATTTTCAAATTTTGAACTCAGAGAGAGAGAGTCAATAATAAATTTACGAGATGAGTTTCTTTAAATCAAATTAGTATTTAATTATAATTTTATTTAAAAATCTTCTTCTTGTAAAATTAATAAGAATTTTATTTATTTTCAATTATAATAATTTTGAATTTAAGTTTCAATTATAATAATTTTTAATTCAGTTTTTATTATAATAATATTCAATTATAATAATTTCCAATAACAATTATTTTCAATTCTAATAATTTCCAATTACAAATTATTTTCAATTATAATTAATTTCCAATTACAATAATTTGCAATTATAATAATTTCCAATTACAATTATTTTCAATTATAATAAATTATAATAATTTTTAATTCAGTTTTAATTGTAATAATATTCAATTATAATAATTTTCAATTACAATTATTTTCAATTCTAATAGTTTTGAATTTAAGTTTCAATTATAATAATTTTTAATTACAATTATTTTCAATTATAATAATTTTTAATTAAATTTTAATTTTTAATTATTTTTTAAATATAATATTCAATTATAATAATTTTCAATTACAATTATTTTCAATTCTAATAATTTCCAATTACAATAATTTGCAATTATAATAATTTCCAATTACAATTATTTTCAATTATAATAAATTATAATAATTTTTAATTCAGTTTTAATTGTAATAATATTCAATTATAATAATTTTCAATTACAATTATTTTCAATTCTAATAGTTTTGAATTTAAGTTTCAATTATAATAATTTTTAATTACAATTATTTTCAATTATAATAATTTTTAATTAAATTTTAATTTTTAATTATTTTTTAAATAATATTCAATTATAATAATTTTCAATTACAATTATTTTCAATTCTAATAATTTCCAATTACAAATTATTTTCAATTATAATAATTTCTAATTACAATAATTTTCAATTATAATAATTTCCAATTACAATAATTTTCAATTATAATAATTTCCAATTACAAATTATTTTCAATTATATAATAATTTTTAATTCAGTTTTAATTGTAATAATATTCAATTATAATAATTTTCAATTACAATTATTTTCAATTATAATAGTTTTGAATTTAAGTTTCAATTATAATAATTTTTAATTCAATTTTAATTATAATAATATTCAATTATAATAATATTTGATTATAATAATATTCAATTATACCTAATAATTTTCAATTAAATAATTTTTTAATTAATTAATTTAATTAATTTTTTAATTTTTTAATTATAATAATTTCCAATTACAATAATTTTTGAATCAAGTTTCAATTTTAATAATAATAATAATAATAATAATAATAACAGATATAAAAAGAATAGAATTTTAATTACAGATGTATAAATGATGCTGGGGTACCAGGACACGTTATAAATACTTTTTGTTTTTTTACATCCACATTTACAGTAGTAAGTTTAAATTTTTTTTTTATTTTATTAATAAAAAATTGAAAATTGTAATATATATATAGACTAAAAAAATTTATAGGTAAAACATATGAATTTAACTTCAGTAATTGAAGGGGAAGTACCACATCCAGGCGTTGGTCCAATGAGCAGACATGATGAAATCGTTCATCATGCCTATTATCAATGGGTTCCATTTATTCTTTTTTTTCAAGCAATACTTTTCTATTTACCCCATTATCTATGGAGATCAGCTGAGGGTAAATTTTTTTTTATTGATTTTCTCACTTAGTTTTTGGTTATTAATATTTTTAAAATATTATTTTAAAGTCAAAATTAATATTTAAAAAAAAATTATATATATATTTAAATATATATTTAAAATATTAATAATAATAAATTATTAATTAATTTATTTCTTATGATTTGTTTGTTATTTATTTTTATTTATTAATTTTTATCCACAGTTTTAATTAGAAAATTGAAAAAAATGTCCTAATAATTAATTTTTTTTGAATAATTATTATTTAAATAGGTGGCCGATTAAAAATGTTGATATCTGGTTTAAATTTGGCATCGTTGGCATTGCAAGAGGAAAAAATTGAAGTCGAAGGAATGAGTATACCAACAAAGGGTGATCGCGATGATAAAATACGACAAATTCGAACTGGATTTATAAATCGTCTACATTTAAATCGACCATGGGCTTATTATTTGGGTTTTTGTGAGGTTCTTAATTTTATTAATGTTCTCTTTCAACTTTATTTCACTGATTGGTTCTTGGGTGGTACATTTCTCAATCTTGGCACTGACATTCAAAATAATGGATTTAATCACAGATTGGATCGTCTCGATGAGGTTTTTCCAAAGGTAACAAAAAACAAACAAACTATTATACAATTTATTCAAAATTAATTAATTTAATTCGTTATTAATTAATTTATAATTAATAACTAATTAAATTAATTACTAGTTAAATTTATTGTTTGTTCAATTAATTATTAATTTAATTAATTATTAGTTCAATTAATTATTAATTGTTAGTTTAATTAATTATTAATTTACTTAATTATTAGTTAAATTACCTGTTAATTAAATTACTTATTAGTTAAATTAATTATTAATTTAATAAATTTTCCCTGATTTCCAGTCAGAATTTAAATTTTTTCTTTGATTCTAATAAAAATATTTCCAAAACGTTTTCAATTATAAAAAAATGAAGACAATAATTTTTAGAAGCAAAAAATTTGAATTAAAAATTTCAAAAAAATTATAATTTTATTAGCATTTTTAGAAATTTGATATTTTTAACAGTACTTTTTATAAAATTCCCTAATTTTTCTTGCTCGTGGCAAGCTTGATTAATTAATTGATATAATTATTTTTGATATTAGATAAAAAAAAAAGATATTTTTTGCTTAAATAAAAAAATTTTGATATAAAAATTTGGATATTGGATATAAAAATTCACTAATATTATTATTATTAATATTAATTAATTATTTAGGTCACTAAATGCACTTTTCACAAATATGGTGGCTCAGGTACAATACAAACACACGATGCACTTTGTGTTATGGCATTAAATATTGTCAATGAGAAAATTTATTTTATTCTATGGTACTGGCTTATTATTCTTGCAATTTTTACTGGACTTGGTTTAATATGGAGAATTCTCACTATGGTTTTACATGCTCGGTAATAATACACATTTATTATTTAATATTATTATTACTATTTTTATTTTATTTATTATTTTTTTTTACAAAGCAAGTTTAGAAGAGGAAAAAATGTTTTTTCATGATTATTATAATTGTAATAATAATTATTTTTTTTTTTGTTTTTTTTTACAAAGCAAGTTTAGGAGAGGAAAAAATGTTTTTTCATGATTATATTATAATTATAATAATAATTATTTTTTTTTTTGTTTTTTTTTATAAAGCAATGTTTAGGAGTGAAAGAAATGTTTTGCTATTGTTATTTAAATTTTTATTATATTATTTTTTAATAGAAAATAAAATAGAAAAAAGAAAATGTTGGGCAAATTATAATGCGAAAACAATGGGGGGGTTTTATTTTACAGAAGCATCAACTTTAACAAACTAGTATTCTCAATGGCCTGTCCAGGGAAATATAATCCCTGGAATATGCTCAGGGTTACTCACGACTACCACTTCGGTGACTGGCTCTTCCTTTATTACATAGCAAAGAATCTAAACAATTATGTTTTCAAGGAGTTATTGCACCAGTTGGCGGAAGACCTCGAGGAACGGAAACAAGCCAAGTATAATATTATTCCAACTGACGATTTTGATACATTAAAAAAAGATTAAAATCAAAATTATTTCGATTTTATACAGAAAATGTAAAAAAAAAATCCGGAAGAAAAAAATTATTTTTTTTTTATTTTCATTTCATAAAAGGTTTTCCAAAAAAAAAAAATATTAATTCTTAATTAAAGAATAATAAATATTAATATGTAATAATAATTATTAATTGTAATTAATATATATCAATTATTTTTGCAATTAATATATAATATTAATTATTATTAATATATATAATTAATATATAATTATTATTATAATTAATATTATAATAAGATTTATATTTAACAATTTCTAAATCGTGTTCACTTTAAAAAAAAAAATTTTTTTTAATATAATTTATACATTTGTACATAAAAAGTAGTTTTAAAATAAATATTTAATAAAAAAAAGCAAATTTTATATTTTGATCAGTGATCGATAGAAATCTTTTTTTTCTGTTAAAAAAATCAATTTCCTTGTGATTCAATTTTGTGAATTCGTAATTCATAAGTATAAACAAATGATATAAAAAAGATAAAAGTCAAAAAGAATTTCCTCGAAAACGTGTATTTTTTTTTTTTATTTTTTAAAATTGATTTATCGGAAAAAAATTTCATAAGAAATTCGTTATCGTTGAAGAGATTTTCCAAAGTCTTTTATCGACGAATTGTGATTCTATATTGTCATTGAATAATACAATATTTTTAAAAGAAAGTTGACGGAAATTATTTTGTTTTTATTTCCTGTTCACACACGTTATTAAGAAATTTGTTTTTAAATTAATTTTTTTAATTAGAAATTTAATATTTAAATGAGAATAAAAAATTTTTTAATAGAAATAAATTTTTAAAAAAAATAAATAAATGTAAATAAAAAATAATTAAAAGTAAAAAACAAAATTTTAAAATAGATAAATATAAATAATAAATATTTTTTTGTATCATAAAACGTTTTATATTTTAACAATTAAAAAAAAAATTTATTAAATAAAACCTTTAATAGAAAAAAAATTGAAAAATAAAAAGTTGAGAGTAATTTATTCGATTTGGGAATTTTGGCTTCTTTCAAGTTCCACATACGTGTAGGAGGTAAAAAATTGGAGTTCAGAGACCTGTTGAGTCTTTCTCTTTTTTTTCCTCAAAACTTGTTCTATAAAAAATTCTGTTCCTATACCTTGAAAGTACATTGTGAGTAATTTCATTAATTTCAAACGATTTATTTTCATATATTCAAAGTATTTTCAATGTTTCAATTATATACACATATTTTTTTTATTGAAAAAAGTTTTTTTATTTTTATTTTTCATTTTAATTTTTAATTTTTAATTTTTAATTTTTTAATTTTTTAATTTAAAATTTTTAATTTTATAATTTTGGCATTTTTTACTCATTATATAGTAATGAGAGGTTTCGATTATTCATTTCAATGTAATGAAGTAAAAATCACTTTACGTTAGGTGTTATGCATTTTTTCCTAATTACTTCTTTGAAATTAATTTTTATCACTAAAAAGATAAAATTGTCTTTGCCCTATTCGTTAATTATTTAAAAACTTTGAATACAAGCGAGAGACTTTTTTTTAACGATAAAAACTACAAGAAACTTGTAACCAGTTAAAATTATGAGCTATAGGTATATAAATTTATAACTTTTGCAATTTCAAAGCGCATGCTGATATGAATTTTCCAAGCTCGTAAAATTGATGAACAAATTGCGTCAATGTCAAATTTTACATTATTCTTACAGTATATTTTCATAATCTTATTAAAAAATAAAAAAATAAAAAAAAACGATTCTCATATGTGAAAATAGTTTAAAATTTATTATATTGTTAATAATATTATTATATATTAGTTTTTGAATTTCTTTTAAGAATTCTAATGCCAAAAATTGTAAATCATCTTCAAAAAAAAAAAAAAAAAAAAAAAAATTCTTAAAAATAGTTAAAAAATAGTTAAAAATAAGAAACAAAGTAAATCATAAATAATATTAAGTAAATATTTGTTAAGTAATGATTCTAAGAAAATTATAAACCTTGAAAAGAAACAACTCTATTTCCTTATAGCAAAACATGAAGATTTCACTATTACTGACAATGAGTATATCACTGAAAATCTTGACCCATAAATAAAATGACAGAGATCTTCAAAAGCGATAAAATAACATTGCTATGACATAAAAATTTTTTCCCCCGCAACATATTTTCGAATTAAAAAATATTGTCACTAATTTATTTTAACACCTTTCATCACTTTTGATTGCAAAAAAAATTTATAATTACGAAAGAATAAATAAATTTTAGTACACTAAAAAAAAAAAATTATTTTATACATTAATTTATAAATTAATTGTAAAAAAAATAGATTTTTAAAAGTACAGTAAGTATTATATTTCAATTGAGTTTTAAAAATTTATTATTTCGTAATGTGTGTGAAAGTGAGAGAAATAAAAAATAAATAAAAAAAAAAGAATTATAAATGCATACTTAAATGCCTATAAAGTTAAATCCGAATCGAATTGGAGCGAATAAGGAATTTACGCGCGAAATATAACGCGAACGATATATGTATGTATAATAATGACTCTTAAGGATCTCTCACTATATATATTTCCGCTGTGATAATTTTTTTTTTTATAATCATCTACTTATAGCAATATATACATACATTTCCGAGAATCAGCATAATGTCCTATTTTAAAATCGTTAAATTGTTACGATCATAATGATACTCTTCAAACTATTATACTCCAGGGACAAATATTATTCTATACCAGGCAAAAATTCACTGATTTTTTTATCTCATTTTTGCTATATATACTATTTGAAAAAAATTTATTATTTGATTCAACTAAAGCGGGTAATTGACTATTATCAAATAATTAAAATTTTTATCCCTTAATTAATATTTGCATCGAATAATTAAAATTTATATCAAATAATTAATATTTCCACCGAATAATTAAAATTTGTATCAAATAATTGATATTTCTATCGTCATGGATTAAGAAATTATTTTTAAAAATAATTTCAATGAAATTGCCTAACAACCAATAAATTATTAAAAAGTCTTGAAACGAACATAACCTTTAAATTCAAGTCATTTTTGGCGGAAACTCCACCTTCACTTGCGGCTATATTGAAAGTCTTAAAATTTACATAACCTTAAAATTTATGTCATTTTTGGCAGGAAATACAGAGAGAGATGAGAGAAGGGGGAAGGACTTATTGCTTTATTAGGGTCTTAAAACAAACATAACCTCAAAATTTAGGTCAATTTTTGGCGGAGGAGGGGAAATGAGAGGAGGGAGGGAGGACTTGCGGCTATATTCAGAGCCTTGAAACAAACATAACCTCAAAATTTAGGTCATTTCTGGCGGGGGAGGGGAGGGGACTTGCGGCTATATTCAGAGTCTTGAAACGAACATAACCTCAAAATTTAGGTCATTTTTGACGAAGGAGGGGAAATGAGAGGAGGGAGGGGGACTTGCGGCTATATTCAGAGTCTTGAAACGAACATAACCTCAAAATTTAGGTCATTTCTGTCGGGGGAGGGGAGGGGACTTGCGGCTATATTCAGAGTCTTGAAACGAACATAACCTCAAAATTTATGTCATTTTTGACGGAGGAGGGGAAATGAGAGGAGGGAGGGGGGACTTGTGGCTAAATTCAGAGCCTTGAAACGAACATAACCTCAAAATTTAGGAGGGGGGACTCCCCCTCCTGGGTCAAGAATTCTTGTAACAGCGGCGGCGATATCTTTTTGTAATATAGGAAGATAATAATTTTTAAAAACTAATAACAATTTTTTTTTGATAATAAAAAATAATAATAATAAATATAATAATTAATAATAATAAAAAGTAAATAATAAAATTTTTTTTTGAAAATCTTTACTTTTTTTTTACTTCATTGAGAAAAAAAAGTCAAAGAAATTTCTTTTTTAAATTAGATTATTTAGAATCTAAAAATAAGAGACCGGATTTTTTTTTATTATTATTATTTTATACACGTGGAGTTTATTCTGTATATATATATATAGATATATAGATATTGTGGTCCGGATCAAGTGGAGGACAATGTGCATAATTGAACGATTATATATATATATTTATTGTACATCAAGGGGCAATGCTCGAATCAAATAAATTCTTTATCATTTATAAGGTACTTAACAGCGGGAAAAACTGTATGTTAATCGACAACATTTTTGCTAGAAATATTATTAACTCCAAAAAAAAAAAAAATTACTAAAAAAAAAAAACCCAAAAAAATTTTCACTAATTCATTGTTTTTTTTTTAAATTTTAATTAGTGTAAAAAAAAATTCTAACTAATTTAAATTAGTAAATTCTTTTCGCAGAGAAACGGATATTAATATATCAATCATGGAACAAAGGAAATAAAAAAGCTGTTTGATAAGAAACTTCCTGTTGTTATTTGTAAAAAGGAACAAATTTTTCTACTATTTTATAATTTACCAACAAAAGATTTGTTGAAAGAATAATTTTAACGAGTGTTAAAGAATGTTAGCAAAAAAAAAAATTAAAAAAATTAATTTATTATTTGTTATTACAAATAGCGAGCTAAAACTCATTTTTTTTGAAAGGTTGTTGTTTTCCTGGAAAATGAAAAAAATCCTTCCTCCTTCTTTCAAAAACGAACTAAAGAATTTCTTTCTCATTTATTTCATTGACTATTATTTTTTTAAAGTAAAAAATACTTTTTTCAAATCATACTCTCTAAATCTGAATTAGTAAAAATGTTTACTAATTTAAATTAGTGACTCACTTTTTGCTTTAGAATTAGTTAAATTTTACTAATTGTTAGTAAAAGTTACTAATAATTAGTGAAATTTTCACTAATTGAGAATCAAAATGTGAGTCACTAATTCAAATTAGTAAACTTTTTTACTAATTCAGATTTAGAGAGTACTAACTGGAAACTAACTGGAAAATAAGTAAAAAATAAAATTTTTTTTGAAAGAACATTTTCCTGGAAAAGGAAAAAAATTTTTAAAACTAACTCAATAATTTTGAGAAGCTACTTTGTACATTTCAATTTAATAGTTATGAATAAAATGAGATCACTTAATTTGTATTTATGACAAAAAAAAAAAAAAATTTGCAATGCAATTTATTCTCTTTAACGAT